GAACAAATAGCATTTAAGAGCAAATTACAATTTTAGTCTTGTATGTTTCACTACTATAATTTTTTCGTCCTTTTCGAATTGCGTTTTTTATTTTTGTCCCGTATGTTTGCAAAAAAGTTACAAAAATGTCATTTTCATACATAAGGGACGAAATTTGGAGTCTAAAACATAAAATACCTTTTTGTTGCGAAAATGACCTTTTTATAACCGTTTTGCAAACATACGGGACAAAAAAAAAACAACAATTCGAAGAAGACAAAAATGTTAAGATAGTAAAACATACCGGACTAAAATTATAATTTACTCTTTTTTAAACATTAGGACAAGCTCCCGAAATCCAAGCCCAAGTGATAGCTTTGACCAACTCCCTCTGGGCTTTTATATTTAGCCTTAAGTTGCCCTTACAAGAGGACCTGGTCCGTTTGAATCATTTCTATCATCTCCCTCCGATTCACTTTGCCTCAAACTCTATTCTGCTCATGGTAGGGTTCGTAATCCTTAGTTCTTGCATCCTCCGAGCTGTAGACGTCAATTTCTTCTTTTATAGTAGTACAATCAGAAGATGCAAAGGGGTCGTTAAACCATGCCAATTTCTTTTGAGATCTTCCTTCGTTCCAACATTTATGCTTGAAAAACAAAATCCTTCCAACAAATTTCTTTAGAGATCTTCCTTCCTTCTTTACAGATCTTCCTTCCTTCCAAAATCTTTTGTCTTTCTCCCGGAATACATTGACGAGTTCCAAGGTCAACGCAAGATGCCTAAATCTTCCAAGTGTTGGGACGACCTAATGTAGGAACGGAACCAGCTCTCCTTAATGTCACGAAACTGTCCTCCAACAACCGACTATGGTACCATATGTACATTCAACTAATAAAAGTATGTAAAAATGGAACAGCCTTAATCATCAAGTTATCACATGTCAAACAATAAACAGTAAAGAAAAAAAAAATGTTATTTCCGAAGAAAAAGAGCAAACAGACAATCTGCTGTTCCGTAATATACATATTTTAATTCTTCTCACTTAAATTGTACTGCAATTTCATTCAAGAAATATAAGGAACATTAGGGGCAATAAAAACGTCTTTTCCATTTGCAACACCAGCTACAATATTGCTTATTCTCTCCATGACAAAAGAAATGTCGAAAATTTGAGCCAATGGAATCATCATCGAGAAGACTCCACCATATCCACCAATATGGTTATACTTTGAATAAAAAGGGCCAAAGTAGTACTGAAAACAATATAGAAAATGAGCAAGTGTACAGGAAAAATGGGTGAACCTAGTCCAATGTGTTGATCAAGTCTTTGAAATTGTACACAAGCCAATCAGCTTTTGCAGCAACGAGCTCCCGAAGCTGAACTCCACCATAGCATATAAACAAATCAGCGCCACCTGGTTGGCGAGCCTGCAATTGTGATCAGACAAGAAAGAGAAAATGGGTATTACACAAAAAACTGAATCTATTAAAATTTCTCAAAACTCAACAAAGTCAATGAAAAAGAACCATGGTTAAAATCCCTCTCCACTTTAAAATTTGAAAATACTAGGAGATGATTAACAAGACTTGAAGGGAGAACAAAAGTCATGGTGAGCATTTCTAACCTCAAGATCAGTTGCACCATCTCCAATCATAACTAGAAGCTTGTAACCTTTGGTCTGTAAATGAAAGGGTAGAGATTTATTTACGCATCCTCAGATGCGATCTTACAAAACAAGGACAAAATAATAATAATAATCCACCAAGTAGTGGTGTAAGTGTGACCTTCCTAATCTGTTGAACAGCAGTAGCTTTCCCTCCACTCCTTGAAGTATGCTCGTTGGGATCAAATCCCAAGTACTCCCCAGAGCTTCCAAACAGAAGTTGATTGGCATATATGTTATCCAAAGGTATCCCAAGCATTGATGCAACGGGCTTCCATATGAAATACAAAAAATTATATATATAATGAAATGAAAGCTCAAAGTAATATCTGCTCATGTATCAGAATCCAGTTTTCAGCCAAAACAAAGTTTATGCAATCTAGTACAACTTGAGCTGTCTGCCATTTTCTTTCTCCATTTTCTTCTACATTTTTTCTGACAAGTTATGACAACTTCTAATCAGAGAACTTTCATGCAGTTCCTTGTACGTATATATCCTGGTATCATGGACATGCATGACTTAACTAAGAGATGGATCTTTTATCTGCAAAACTGTAGTTTCGTTAAATATACATTAATAGGCTCATCAGTGTTCCGTTATGCCAATGGCTAGTTAAGAAATGCAATTTGGCTGGATATTGTAACTGTGTGCTCTGGATGAAGGTTCATAGTGGATTTCAACAAGTGTTTTTGCATAACAGTCAAGGATATTGTGCTTGTGGGATATGGCCAAGTGAACTTTGGGCGAAGAAGGTTTAAGAAATGTATTCGGTTTGTTTAGTCTGCAAGTGGACCAAGTACAAAAATCAGGAAAGGAACAATTTCATACAACAAAACTTACCACATATAGAAACTTCTACTACCAGCATAGATTTAGTTTCCAGGAAACAATCATAAGCTAAGATATGAGGCATCATATATAGTGGTGTAACAAGAGAACAAGACACTGATGTGGGGATAAATATTTAAAAGACAAGCACCATAGTAAAAGTTAGTTACTGCATTTGATTGTATTAGCGTAGAAAAAGAGATGGAATATTCCTGAAATAATTGTCAGGAAAAGTTCAACATGAAGAAATAGCAAATTTTCTGTTCACCCACTGTTGGATACACACCGGCAATCCATATAATGATTAAATTAATGATCTTTCTGACACAATAATCCTTTTCAAGTAAAATAGTCTAAAAAAGTAAGCAACTTACATTTATCATCTGGCGAAAACCTCCAGATACCAAAAATATGGTTTTGTTATTCTCCTTCAGCTTCTTCACCAATGCATCGATTCCAGGAGAAAGTCTATATGAAAGAGTATATAAGCCAAATATGCACTGCAGATCGAGGGAAAATGATAACCATAACCTTTTCACATAATCACATGAAATCTAATGTTGAAACAATTTAAACAAGACACAATTGAATATATCACTCAGTAGAAATATGTAATCCTCCAAAGGCATCATTTGTTCTAGAACCACATCGAGATTGAGAAGCATCCCACCTTACGTTACATTACTTTTAACAAAATAAAAAAAAAAAAGAACTTCGAGCCCAACTTTAGTTTATGTAAAAATCAGGGCGAGCTAGGTGTAGAAGACATACACTAGAAAAAAAAAATAGTGTTTAAATAAAACTAGGAAATTAATTACAAAATGGAGCAGAGGCCACTTTGCATGAGGCATTAGCTAATAAATTCACTAGTGCCCGAGACTACAGGTAGAGTAGAAATTGTACGTATTCAATTTTTATTCTGATAGAATACATGATAAGTTATACGAAATCCTACCCGACCCATATACTATAGGTACAATAAAGAGGATATGATAAGAAATGGACATAGAAGCAACTATTCAGTTTACATTGATAATTAATAATAATATTAATTCTTTGTCCTTATATTTAAAATTTCAGCACGGGTAACAGCATTAATTAACCCGTAAAATTAAATTTTGTACCTTGGAGGTCGCTTTTCAAGAAACTCCTGCAATTGGGACAACGATGGGTTAAAAAGAGAGAGTCTAGCAGCCAGTGCTTTCTCAAAAGGAACAGAACCACTCATTGCCCTGGCAGAGTCAACAAAACCAAAGGCAAAGTAAAAGGTTAAAAGTTGAGATAATAAATCAAGAATAACTCTAAATTAATACTAAGGAACATAAAATATAAGTAGTAAGATAAAAAGAAGAGAAGCCATGAAACCTGGCAGTCCATTCTGCAACAGCCTCTCCAGCTCCACAAAATTCTGCCAGTTCATCAATTCCCTCGTCCAAGCACACTGTGCTATCCACATCAAAGCATACAGCATTGGCATTTCTCCAGACATCAAGAACCTCTAACAAGACGAAAAAGAAGTAGCCATGACATAACAATTACCACTTGTACAGAAGGCAATGCCACACAAGACAGTACAAGAGTTTCAAAAGATGCGATCAGAACAATCCGAATTCCAATGTTGATCAAATGGAAGTCCATCAGGCAAATAATATTTGAGAAAACCATAGATGCAAAGGGTTATACAAATTTGGAATAAAATGCCTCAGATAAGTAAAAGTTTCACCTTTGGAAGGTATCGTGCTATCAAAATGGCCCATTGTTGTGGCCCCCAATGGTTGGACAGAATAAGCGACTGGATTAAATGATCTGGAAGTTCTCAAGACCTCAATTTGACTAATTAGTGCTCGCCCTGTAACTCGTGGGGCCAATGAAGGAAGAGTTAGCAAGTTTTGTTCCCTTCTACCAAAAGAGTGAACTGGTTTCAATTTGATCCCAGTGCTCATCAAGCCCTCCATCAGAGTTACCTACTACTAATAAATCAAGAAGAAACTTCAGTTGGCCTGTTAAAACCGAAATTCTGACAAAAGATCATCAAGGCACACTTTGCACACACCACTAAGTCACAAACAAACGCATTATGACATTGTTTTGCAGTTTTCCTTGAATATGTACAAGTTGTGAAAAGGTGTCTTACTCACTTGTTTGAGTACGCCGGCCAGAAGATAGGTCGCGACGGCTGCGGGGTGTTCGCGGGATGCACCGACTGGCTGTCGATGGTCTCCTCGTGGGCTGCCGTTCGTGGCGGCCGGAGAATACTGCTGTTCGGATCGGCGGGAGAAGAGTGCTGTGGGTGGAGCGATGGCGATCGGAAAATGCCGGGAGATGCGGCGATTTGAGCGGTGTCCGATGAGCGTTGTGATACGACGGCGGCTAAGGCTGAGAGGCTGTTACTCAGTCGTACGGGGTGGCTGAGATGCCGACGAGAAGGAAAGCTCGCGACGTGGGCAAAGATTCGGCGTTCGATCCCGCGGTGGTCGTGGGTTTCTGCTCGCGGGCTTCTCCTTGGCTGGTCTGAGGTTGCTGTGACGTGCGTTGCTCAGGAGGGTGGTGGTCGCCGGACAGATTTGGAGAAGATGGGGGCGATGGCTGATTTTCGAGAGTTTATGTTGATGAAGAAAAACGAGATCTGCTCACTCTCTTTCACGCGTCGTAGGACGAATTTATTTAGGGGAAAAATAGATTGAGATTTCTTATGGCCAAATAAAGGGTTATCTTTTTTTTTTATTTATTTATTATTTTTTTTTTAACGACATAAAAGATCTCATTAAAAAAATCAAGAGGCAATATACAAAGAAAGGCTCGGAACCCGGGAATGAGAGGTTACAACCCCACCGTTGCAATCTAGACAAAAACTACTAGCAATACTAGAATAGCAACCACACCAAAAAACTAAAAAAAACCACAAACTACACCAAAAAACAACATAAAACACTCCCAACATGAGAATGCCCGAGTGTGCTCCCAACAGGAGAATTAAGGTAC